AAAAACCAAGCTATATTGTGTACACAGACCCACACCTCAAGATGATAGTAAACTTCATGTACTGCAAACATGTACTAATTTCAAAAAGAAAAACAAAACAAAACAAGAATAGTGGCAAGCAAGTCTCATCTATTAGCTTTGCTCTAAAGAGTGTACTGTACTGAAGGCTAAAGAGAATGCATTAAGCAAATCAAATAGTGACCGACCCAAGAAATGTAAAGTGCAGTAGGCGAGATCAATATTCATCAAACAGTCACAAATGATGATGTAATTAGATGACATAATACACACCCTAGACTTAGAATTGCATAGAACAAAGTAAATTTTTACAAGAGCAATTACTATTTTTTGCAATAATAAGTGCTCTACAGGTGACTTTGGAAGCAACAAAATAAGAAATACTAATTTTGGTACATTGATGAAGAAACATTTATCTAAGAAAATGGCTTCTAGGCTGAAACCTCATGTGTGAGTATCAATCAGCCACTGGGAAGGGCATTCCAGGTAGAGATAACTGCAAAGCCCTGGAGACTGAAGGTGAAGTCCTCATTGTGCTTTGCAGAAAGTAAAAAGATCTGGTGTGTAGCTTAGGAAAGGAGACAAGGTGAAAAGCTCAGTTTGGAAGAGCTTAGAAAGCTGAAAAAGGGGTTTGAATTTACCCTGGAGCACTGAGGAAAATGGAAGATCTTGATACATTCATTTGTCCAGGTTCTCATTCTGTACTCTGGCCTGTTTTGTTTTTAACCGAGGAAACACAAATCATATTTATTTGGGCCACCTTCTGGGGCACCAGATGTCCAACATTTAAGTGGAAATCTTTCCAGATAAATTTAAATTCAACACAAGGCAGTAAAACAAGACTCAAACCACAATGGAGATGAAAACCAGTTTATTTCTCAATCTCTTCTTGCATTAACCTTACTTTCTTCCAGTTATGTGGCCAAATATTATCACCTAAAGATACTTTTATTTTAATATCTCACCATAGCATACTGATAAAAAAGAGCATACCCATACGTCTACAAATATATATATTTTTTATGGTACATAGAGCTCAGAAATAGCTCTTAATTTTTTATTTCTAGTAATTTAACTTCCTGTAGATTTAAAAAATATTTACTCAACTTCAAAGATTCTTATTGGAAGAAAACTATGAATCAAATATATTATCTGACAATATAGTAAGAAATATTATGACTTGGTTGCAGATGAATTAAATTTGATTTTGTCCCTTAAGCTTGCCAAACTTAGGAGTATGACCATGATCAGATATAGACTCAATATCTGAATCATGTAAAATCAAACAAACCAGAGAATATCATTAGTTATCATTCCTCCAATTTTTGAATCCAATCTTTTTAGATCTACACCTTCATAGTAAGATTTTATATGTGCTTTTCAAAGCTTACTTGGTTTTTATTCTTCTCTTAATATTCATGCTTATACTCATTAATCTTCAAAGATAGATATTATCTTCTCTGCATTTCAACTTAAAAACTTATTTATTGAAAAAACTTTCTGTTTTTGGTCACATATGGAGTTGTCTTTTGGATTCCAATAATTGGTAGTGTTATTTCAAATGTATATCTTTTAAATTTCTTAGTCAAGTCTAATGTTTCTTACTTTTGATGTGGTATAAAGCCCCGAGAAATACTACATGAATTGTTCTTAATACTTTATATAAAGTTTCTGGTAATTTGCTAAGCAGTATTTTTCAAGTAATGAAATACTCAAAGTAAAAAACTTCAGTAGGATTTTACAGAAAATCACTCAGAGTAGAACCCATGCCACTGTAACCAATATCTATTTGAATCAAGGTCTTTCAAAATGTTTTAGAAGTTCATTTTCTAGATTATGATCTCACATCTATGATAGTCTCAGACAGCAATTTCAGTTGAATTTTATTTCCCAGTCAGAAAATTGGCAGCATTCCATCCAACATGTAGAAAAGAAGATTCATTGTATTAATTGGGATTTTTTTTTTTGCAAATGGCAGAAAAATGCCTCTACAGTACTTTAGACAACAAGGGAGGTTTATTGACTCACATAGTTAAAACCTCCAAATAAGTAGTCTTCAGAGAAGGTTTGAGTCCATGACTCAAGCCATCTCACCAAGAAATGATATCATCTTCTGGTTCTTCCGGGCATCTCAATACCCTCCACACCTCCTTAGCAACTCCAGGTAGCAAAATGGTGGCAGCATTCTGGGACTGCCCATCTTCACATTGTACTTCTGCATAGCCAGCTCCTTCACGATCCTTTGAAATCATGGTCTCTTTGAACAAAATAGAGTATTTTGCCCATCCACGAACTGGTCTCTGTGATTTCAAAGGGGAGGAAACTTCAATCATCTTACACCAACCATCTTAACCCCCTTTCTAGAAATGAGGTTGATTCTTCAGGCAGGAATGAAGCCCTTGCCATACCCTGATAGCAGGATATTGGATGATGGATATAGAACAGGGACACATGGCCTCCTTCCTCTGCATACTCTTTTCTCCCTCCATTGGTTTTGCTGGAAGATGTGGGGATAAAGCAAATAGATGCATAGATGTTGCCAGGCTATTTGACTGCTTTCATATCTGTGTTCTTAACAGTAGCCTGTTGTCTCTGGCCATTTCCATAGAGTAGAGCAAGTTTCTACACCACTGTTGATATAATTTATTCAGCTATGATTTATATTATTTCATTCATTCATTTGTTCATTTAGCATATATTTATGGGCTTGGGGTTGTGCTTTTCTTCCCTTCTATTAGGGCTGCATGAATTTCCTGGGCCTGGTTGAAAGAGCTGAACCAAGCAGAAGGAAGATGCTCAGAGGGGTTGGTAGCAGAGAGGACAATCTGAGTGATTTTCCTTGCTAATCTCTACTCTGACTTGTTAAAAGATACTTTAGAGAAATTAAATTTAGAAGAGTTTATTTTAGCAGATAAATTACTTGTATTTGGATAATAATCTGAAACAGCAACGATTGAGAGAGCTCTATCCAGGAGCATGGGCAGGTAATATTTATACACATGAAAGAAATAGATATACAGAAATAGATTATAGGTTCAGCTCTGCTTTTGCCTTATTTGCACACATCTTAGCAGTTTGTAGCCTGGGATTGCCAGAAGGCTGACTGGTATGATTGGCTGAGATTTGGGTACCTGTTCCAAGAATAAATTATTAAGTCAGGTGCAGTTTGTTTATATATTGGGTTATGTTGCAATTTTCTATATACGTAGGCAGATTTAGATGAAATTTATCAAGCTCTACCCTTGCCTAACAACAAAGTCCAGTTTTCTTACCTTTTGGGAAGAAGGAATCCCCCTGTAACAAGTCTTAGGTCTTGAGTTTCATCAGTGACTTCAGTGACCCAGTGCAATGGCCTCTTCCCTCACTTTGTTTTCAGTGAGCATTGGGAACAGTGGAGTTGTAGGATGAGGTTCAGTTCCTGTACTCATTAGTTTTATCCTCATTCTAGAGAGAGCAGAGATGTAGACAAGTAAGGATAGGGAAATATACATTAGTAATAGTGAAAAATCAAAATGCTACAGAGAGTTTAAGAGAGGGTGACAAAGAGACAGAGAAAAAGACAGCATAGTAGTGGAGAGTGGGAAGAGACAGAGAGAGAGAAACAGAGAGAGAGACAGAGAGAATTAATCAGATCAAAATAGAGACAGGGAGTTAAGAGGACAGAAGCAGAAAAGAAAAGAGGAAAATAAAAGACATAGAAATGGGGCCTGATAGATACAGACAAAGACAAAGGCAGACTCCTATGGGAAAAAAGATAAACTTGTCCAAAGGAGTGTAAATGCCAAGAAGATAACCAAAGAGAGTCCAAGTCAATAGTCCAAGGGATGGAGACGGATGTAGCGAAGGCAGCAGGATGTTTTGAATAAATCTGGATGACAGAACCAGTTCCAGGAGAACAACCAGATTAGGGCCTTCCCTGACTACATATAAGCTCATAACTTCTACATTCTGGATATGTCAAAAGGAAGTGGACACTGCCCCAGATACCTCCATGGAGGTTTTATATTCCAACAATTTGAAAGTCACATGGGATGCCCAGACACCTATCCTTGGCATGGCTTTCTCTGGGTCATCAGTTTGTGGATGAAGAAGCACTGAAGTTCAGAGAGAGCCTCTCTGAGTGTCTCTCTGAGTTTTGGGCTCCCTTTGTTCTCATTCTACTCCAATCCCATGATTTATATACCAGTAGAGATACCTTACACCTCTGAGAATTCTGTGCAGCCATAGGTCACACCTCATGTATATCAGAGTCTTTTATAATTTTCTGTCCAATTTAGGTCTTTATGTGTATGAAAGATAAAGTTCTTGATCTCAGGTTGAGGTCAGAAAAGTACTTGAGATAGAGAGAAAGGGAATGGAGGAAAGGAGAGGGAGTGGGAAGGAGGGAGACAGACAGACACACATACAGAGACAGACAGAGACAGGCAGTGACAGAGGCACAGAGACAGACAGAGATAGAGATAGAGAAAGAGAGAGAGGCATATACTCCCAGAAACACTCTACCAACCAGAAAAATCACAAAACAGCTACTACAGTATAGATTTTTAAATATCACCCAGGTAGCAGACTGAGTTCTTATGAATAGTAACCCAACCTGCTCAATAGCCCTCAATAGCTCTACAAGATTGAAAATATTCTCCTCATAGGAGAAATGCAGAACATCAAAAATGTTAAGTCATAGAGGTGCACAGACATTTCTACTTTCACACACAAAAATGGGTCCTTATTTCCTATAGGGCCCCTGAATCCTTTGGAAATCTAACAAAACTGCAAACTACTGTATCTCCTAGAGAAGTAAACAGGGAATATCCACTCAAATATCTGTACCCAGTATCAGAAGGATTGGGAACCTCCTCCAAGTCCACTCCAAATTGCAGACTAAAGGTCAACCCTGTCCAATGTCCATGGGTGTCTGGGCCTAGGGATGTGACAAGTCAAAGAATATCACCCTGGCTCATACCTGTGATCTTCTGTGTCCACAGGGAAGCGTATTTGCCTTGGAGAAGGAATTGCCCGTGTTGAATTGTTCCTCTTCTTCACCACCATCCTTCAGAACTTCTCCATTTCCGGCACAGTGGCTCCTCAGGGCATTGACCTCACACCGCAGGAAGTTGGCTTGGGCAAAGTACCCCCAACATATGAGGTTCGGTTTCTCCCCCGTAATGTGAAATGAGGAAAGAGGAATAAAGGATTGCAGAGTCATTAAGTGCCTTAACTCTGTAGGGAATGGTCCCTCACTTCCTGAATCTGAGCCACCTCTTGTGATTCAGCATCCTTAGCCATACCTGGTTGCTACTCAATGTAGAAGTTATTTCTGTAGTCTTCCTGCCATACTACTGCAGTTCTTTCAAAGTTCTATGCTGTGTTCCTTTCCCATGTGAGTAAAGTTGCAGAACTTAGAACAGGATCAGTCATAATCAAGCCCCTTCTGTGGTCTATATTTAGAAGCTGGGGGATTAAAAGGGAAAATTGATTCAAAGATGTTCTGGCGTTCTGCCTCCCAGGATACAGCTCATGCTGAGTGACATTTCCCTTGCCGAAAACATGCACAGTCAGAATTTGTCAACTCCTTGTGGTCCTTTGTTTTGGACTAAAGATTTCTGTGTAGGAGTGCCCCTCTCCATAGCCCCAGATGATGGGTGCATGGGTCATGCCCCTTTTACAGATGAATGACAGAGGCCAGGCAATGGCATTAGCTTCCTGAGGTCACAATGCTAGTAAACTGAGGAGCAAATTCATATTGTGGTCATAAACCTTCAACTATTCACTATGGCATCATTGAATGAAGATCAGATTCACATAACATGAAAAGGAACATTCTAAAGTGCACAGTTCAGCGCTATCTAGTACACGTATGAGGTTGTACCCATATCACTATCTAGGTTCAGTCATATTTCTTACTTTCCCAAAAATTACAGTAGTTATAAAACAGCTACTCCCTGTTCCACTTAACCCAGCCCCAGAAAACAGCAATATGATTTCTGTCTCAATAAACTTAATTTTGGTCTTTTGGATGTTTCATATAAATGGAATTATATTAAATGTGATCTTTGCTTATTTTTTTAAAAAACTTTACATCACATTTTTGAAGTTGTATGATGTTGAAGACAGCAGTCATGTGCTGCATTTGACCTCCCTCATTCTCCTCCTTAGCTGCTTCTCACTGCTTTTGTTCTTTGTGAAAGGGCATTGTCAGTGCCAATCCCTTGAGCTGTGTGATTGTATACAGACACCATGGATTCCCTCATATTTTGCTTTCAATCTGAGAATCAAATAAACCATCAAACCCTGATCACCCTTTCTATGAGAGCATCTCCCACATATTCTGAGTGACTTCTCCTGTTGCAGAATTTAACAGACTGGAGAGACCCCTAGAAAACAGGAGGATCTTATTGTAGGTGAACCTGCTTCAGTGAACTCACATAAAAATTGAACCCAAAACAAAGGAAATTCTCTAGGATTATACATTTAGTTGAAGGGTGGGTGGTCTTTGTAGTGGCAAGAACTGAGGAGAGGGCCAGACAAGGTTACATATGCAGGACGAGAGCACACAGTTTTGCACACAGATTTTAAAGAAGACAGAACTTTGTGAATCTTGTGAGAGAAAGATGACATAAACTTTGTTTACAGGACATAGTGGCCAATTTTATCTGTACCAAAACAAGGAGTTACAGCTATGGATGGGGTCTTAATCCAAGACGTGGAAGGACTACCCAGGTCTGGAAGGAATTTATTTTCCTTCAGTTCTGCTTCACTCCCTTGCCCAGCACATCCTTACATTTGTCAACTCTCTGTGCTCCATGTTCTGTGCTACAGGGCTCTATGTAGGAGTGTCCCTCTCCATAGCCCCAGGTGATGGGTGCAGGGTCATGCCCATTTTACAGATGAATAACAGAGGCCAGGCAATGGCATTAGGTCACATTGCCAGTGAGTGGAGGAGCAGATTCATACTCTAGCTGTAAAGCTCAAACTCTTCACTATGGCACCATTAAATGAAGATCAAATTCACATACATAAAATGAACGATTGTAAAGTGTACAGTTCAGTACTATCTAGTTCTTTTATGAGATTGGACCCATATCACTCTCTAGTTTCAGACATATTTGTTAGTTTCCAAAATAACTTTCTACTTACTAAGCAGCTACTCCCTGTCTCACTTACCCAAGCCCCAGAAAACACCAAGCTGATTTCTTTCTCAGTGAACTTGTCTTCTGGTCTTCCAGATGTATCATATAAATAGAATTTTACATAATGTAATATTTTGCTTGATTTTTTCCCCTAAGCTTTCCATGACATTTTGAGGTTGTATGGTGTTGAAGAAAACAGTCATCTGCTGCCTTTGGCCTCCCTCATTCTCCTCCTTAGATGTTTCTCACTGCTTCTTTCCTCTGTAAAATGGCTCCCTCAGCTACTATTCCTTGAAATGTGTGACTCTAGCTTGGCACCCTAAATTCCATTGTATTTTTAAAAAATCTACTGAGTAGCAAATAAATTTCAAGGCCTGATCACTACTGGTTAGGAAGTGATCTCTGCCACTTTGTGTGCAACCTGTTGCTTGTCAGGTTCCTGGGACCTTTTCAGAGGGACTTTGTGTGACAGCATCTCCCACACCTCTATGCCAGCTCCATGAAGGGTCAACCTGTTGTCTTCTTACCTGTTTGACTTTCAGCACCTGGAGCAAGGTGTGGCATTTCACAGGTTTTGAAAACATTTTCAAAGGAATGAATGAAGTCATGAAAGCTTGGCTAAATCAGCTACACCATAACCTCCCCCTTCAAATGAAGCTAGACCTCTCGTTTCAGACCATGTTAACTTCTCTATATCCCACTTTCTTTTGAAACCAGAAAAGCATTCTCATCCCCTAAGGGCCCAATGTTTCCAAATCTGAATTCGAGTTTCTCTTGATCTCTCACCCTTCATGACATGAGCTCATAGAGCCACCCTCACTGTGGGACTGGCCTCCACTTGTCCTGCACATTGGCACTACCCCACTTTCTTGGGAGAAGTGTTGTACATTCAAGGGTTTTGCCCATGAAGACATCTGTAGCCAGCCAGGGGTGAAGGGGAGGCTGGCTTTCAGATTCACCCTGAGAACATGAGCCCTGGGCTTCTGCAAGGCCTCTAAACTTTGGGCTCCCTGTACTCTCTGGAGACTTACTAGGATTTCTGCTAAGACTGATTCCCGGTGAACACTCCTCTGCCAACCACAGAAGGAAGCAACAAACACATAAGCTTACCTTTCAAGTGATAAAGATGTGTGAAAGGCAGGTAGAGTGAGAACCATGGTGCTGTTCAACTTCAACTTCTTCATCCTGATCAGCTGCAGCTTCCCTACCTCCAGAGGCAGCCTTGCACCTGGACCCTGGCCTCTACCATTCCTGGGAAATATTTTTCAAAAAGACTCCAAGGGTTTTTCTCAAATCATTCCAAGAGGTGAGATAGGGACAAGAAGGGATGGGAGGTCAGTGATGGGCAAGAGGGAAGCGGAACTCCCAGGTAGCAAGGCAGTTTGAGGTTCCAGCTTGGGTTGGCGTCTCCAGATTAAGTTTGAGATTTGGGTTCTTCCAGCTTCCATCTGCCCAATTTACTCTCTTCCATCAGCTTCTCAAATACCTATAGAGTGTATGGAGATAGAGGACACTGGAGGAGAACTTCTCACACATTTGAGGGTTTGGATTTTCTTCCAGTGGTGGGAAAAGGAGAGTTTCAGAAAATTGGATGTGGAGAGTTAGTGCAATTAATAAAATTCAAGGCTGAGAAGGCTTTGGTAAAGCCAAGAATACTAGAGGAAGGGAATGTTTGTGAGGCTTGAATGGAGCCACAGAACTCAAGTCTCTGAATGGGAGGGAGCTGCAGTCGACAGAGCTCAGGCTACCATGGAAGATATCACCCAGGTGTGAGAGTGGACAACCCTTCTCTTGGGTGAGATAGTGAGATGTGGACCTTGTCTGCACAGCTGCGGGAGAAATATGGTGACAAATTTACAATCTACCTTGGCTCCTAGCCTGCTATTGTCTTGTGTGGATAGGAGGTGATCAGAGAGGCCCCTATGGATAAGACTGAGGGCTTCCCTGGCCAAGGGCTCATTATACAACTTAACACACCTCCCAGGGAACTGGTGAGTAGCAGATCATTGGGAGATGCAGGGAGAGGTAACACTGCATGAGTCCTCCCAGCAATCATTCCATGCCTCACTATTCAGGTGTGACATTTGCCAAAGGAAAGTGTTGGAAAGTCCTCCAGTGATTCTGTCTGAGCACCATGAAGGACTTCAGGATAGGAAAGCGGACAAATGAGAAGCAAACCAAGGAGGAGGATGAGTGTATGTTGGAGGAGATGGGGAAATCTTAGGGTGAGTCTTGGGGCTGGGAAGAGTGTCTACAAGATGGAACCATGGAAAGGGAGAGCATGATTGATAGAGGGTCAGAGACAGATGGAGCAATCGGATCAGGGGGAGAAAAAGTGGGAGCAAGAGTCTTAAAAGGAAGAATAAGGTATACCCAATGAGAAGATAGAAAGAAAAGCTGTGGATACAAACAAAGATCAATCTATGTATAGGAACTTGAAGATAAAAATTTAGAAACAAAGAGGATAAAGATGGAAATAGTCAGAGCTGGCACAAAGTGTTGCCAGGTGAGGGGAATATAAAGACAGGTGTATGCAAAGAGAGCAGACATAGTCTCAAAGAGTCAGAGGTAAGACTGAAGAGAGACGCAGATGCACAAAGATAGTCCTGCAAGATGGACACCTAAAAGACAAGTGACACCAAGAGAGAAACACGCAGAAAGAAAGGCTTAGATGAAAAGACCCAGTGAAAGATAGCCTTGCCAAGAGACAAAGAAACCAAGCCCATATTGGAAGCCCAACTGACAGGTCAAAGGCACCCAGAAGAACAAGGTAGGGAACAGCCAGGTTTCCAGGATAAACCTCTCTCATCCCCAGGGACCTATTAGGACCCGACCATCCTCCTTCAATCTGTGACAACCAATGCCATCTCATCCATCATTTTCAATGAGGGCTTTAATTACAAGGATCCCAAATTCCTATGGCTGCTAAGTTTAGTGAATGAATTCTTCAACATGGTCAGTACATTCTACAGCCAGGTAAGTTCAAATATTCCCCAGTTGCCTAGTAATCAGGGTAGATGTATCCTGGAAAGGGATCAGGTGTTGCCTGTGGTCAGGAAGAAGGCATCACAAGGTCAGATCTCTGGAGAGTAGGAGCTGATTTCCATCTCTCCCCATTTCTGTACATTGTAATCCCCACAAGGCTGCTGTTAGCATCTACCATGATTTTATGAGGGGAATTACAAAATAGTACTCCTGAAGAGAAGCGTTGTTTAAGTTAGTTTACCATTGCACAACCTGAGAAGCTCTGCCCTTGGGGACTTTCTAAAACCTGGTGAAAGATGCACATGTGCTCATAACTTTTTCTTCTCTCTGGTATCTTCTTTGCTTCCTTCTAGAGGTTTGAACTCCTCTTGGGAATCCTCAAGTACTTTCCTCATCCTAGTACTCCTTTCCACAGTAATATTTAAGAACTGAGCGATTTTATCACTGAAAGTGTCGAGGAGCCCTAGGAAATGCTGAGGCCCAGTGCCTTGCAGGACCTCATTGATTGCTTCCTGCTCTGCATGGACCAGGCAGGAGCTAGGCTGGATGACAGGGTGTGGGATAGGGAGCTGGACATGGTCCTGAGGCTGATCTCATATGTTTCAGAATAGATATTTGTGTGTTGCCTAAGTGCTGAATACTTCCTTACAGATGGGTAAGAGAACCACTTGTCCAACCATGGTCCACCTACACCCTACAATTTCAATTTTAGCCTCCCCAGGAATGTCTCCTAAGAGATTACTAAAGAATCCCCATCTGACCCTGAGCCCATGTTCCCTCCCTTTCCCTCTCAGTCTGATTGGCCAAAGGCCCACATATGTTCTTATTTGTCCCAGACCATGTCCATTCTGCTCAGCACAGCAAATAGCATATCAGTTGTTAAATATCTTCCTTGTGATTTCTAGAAATTTAGCTGCAAGAGTCAGTTAGGAAAGCAAAGATGCTAGAGGCCAGAGAACATAATGAAAACATAAAATTAATCAGTAAAGTTTATTGAGTAGTTACATTCATAATATAAAAACCACCTCAGATCATGAACTAAGGCACAGAGGAGTTAAGCTCCTTGCCTGAAAACAGACAGCCAGGGAAAGGTAGTGCTTGAGTTTTAAACCAAGAAGCATGGCTCCAGAGCTCACTCTTGTTAGTTGTGTGACTTTGATTAAAGAACTAAAACATAGTA